TTGCTTCCCGTTGTTCGGCCTATCAATGGGGGCGGTGCTTTTATGTGGGAATCATCATCTAGGATTGTTTTGTATGATGTCCCGGTACGAATTGCTTACGATGACGCCGAATAGGAATACCAACTTCTTGATGACGAACAAGGCCATCTGCTGTGGATAGATATGTATCTGGGACTTTTTTTGATTTCTTTCGAGACAAGAATGTTTTGACATCCTGGTTGGTCTTGTCCCGTCGTTTGGCCTGTGTAGGACTGGGCCGGTGCTTGCATGTGGGACTTGTCATCTGGGATCTGTTTTGTTGCCCCCTGTTCTGTATTTTTTGGCTTTTCCCTTTTCCTTTTTTCTTTGCCTCTTTGCCTTTTGGCTGTGTGCAAGTGGGTCGATATGACACACGAGGGTGGACCTTGTACGCAAAACCTACATCCACGGGGGTGGTCCTCGTACGCAAAACCTACATCCACGTGGGCGGCCTTGTACGCAAGAGGTTCTGAACAGGGGGAATTATAAGGAAGAAGATAGAAAACTGAATTCATTTTTTCCTGTTTTTCTTTCTTTTTTTTTTCCGCATTTGCGCTCTGATATTCTTGTGACTATATATGACGATATCTATATATGAGTCGGTGAAACTCCGACGAAACTTCTCGCTCTGTGCCTACGGTTTACCGGGCAGTTCTGTTTGAGATGTATCGTCGTGTGTTTGCCATATACCTAATATACGGAGAGGACGATCAGTACGAATGGCATGGCGTTGCTATCTTCTTCTCCCTAGAAACCGGCCGGATAGTCATGGTCGAGGTATCTAGACTGAAAACATCCACTCGCTCGCTCACTCACTCACTTGCCCATCGATTACTCATTGAATTCTCATCGTTTACTCATTGAACGCTCATCGATTCTTCGTTCCATGGATTACTCATCGACGACTCATCCATTACTCACTGATCGACTACTCCCTTCTTGCTGGTCTAGGGCCTTATCTATTCTTGCTGGTCTAGGGACATATCTAGTCTTGATGTTCTTGCTCCTCCGTACTCGTTTCTATTTAACAGTGTTTTCCGTTGTTGATTCCTCTGTTGACAATCTGTATTCAATTTTGCTGTGTACATTTTATTTTATTTGTATAAATGGGTGTGTGTGGAGAGAGAGAGAGAGAGAGAGAGAGAGAGAGAGAGAGAGAGAGAGAGAGAGAGAGAGAGAGAGAGAGAGAGAGAGAGCAAGAGAGAGAGAAAGAAAATCGAAAGAAGCTGCCCCTGTACGTGGTTGGGAATTCGTGGTGGCACTGTTTTGCAGCAATCGCTCAGCTGCATTCCTGCAACTCTCGAAAGTAACCCAAGCTTTGAAAGATGCTGAGCAGACGATTCGGCTTGCACCCACCTGGGAGAAGGTTGGTCTTGATTGGAATCTATGAATGGGGGATGGATGAATGACTGAATGATGGATGGATGAATGGATTAACCGCACGCTCGACCTGGCCATGGTTCGCCTTATGTTTTGTTAGATTACGTATCTAGCTTTGTCAGGCAGCGGAGTGTGTTCAAAGGATCCCGATGCGCCCACCAGTCAAGGATCCCGATGCGCCCACCAGTCATCATCTTTTTCTTCGTATTACCTTGGATCCTTTGTCTTGGTCTTGTCCGTGCACTTCATCCTTGGTCTCAATCTTGATCGCTCATGTTTTCTCGTTCTTCTTCATGGGCCCATCTTGGGCCCATCTGGTCCCATCGTGGTGCCATCTTGGTTTTGTCTTGGTCCCATCTTGGTTTTGTCTTGGTCCCATCTTGGTTTTGTCTTGGTCCCATTCTGTTACCGTCTTGGTCCCATACTAGTCCCATCCTGTTCCCATGCTGGTCCCATCCTGGTGCCATCCTTGTGCCATCCTGGTCCCGTCCTGGTCCCATCCTGGTCCCATCCCGGTCCCATCTTGGTCCCATTCCGGTCCCATCCCGGTCCCATCCCGGTCCCATCCCGGTCCCATTCTGGTCCCATTCTGGTCCCATTCTGGTCCCATTCTGGTCCCATTCTGGTCACATTCTGATCTCATTGTAGTCCCATGCTGGTTCCGTCCTGGCCCCATTCTGGCCTCATTTTGGACCCATCCTAGTCCCATCCTGGACCCATACTGGTCCCATACTGGTGCCGTTCTTGTGCCATGCTGGTCCCATCCTGGTCCCATCCCGGTCCCGTCTTGGTCCCATTCCGGTCCCATTCCGGTCCCATTCCGGTCCCATTCCGGTCCCATTCCGGTCCCATTCTGGTCCCATCCCGGTCCCATTCTGGTCCCATTCTGGTCCCATTCTGGTCCCATTCTGGTCCCATCCCGGTCCCATTCTGGTCCCATTCTGGTCCCATTCTGGTCCCATTCTGGTCCCATTCTGGTCCGATTCTGGTCACATGCTGATCTCATTGTAGTCCCATGCTAGTTCCGCCCTGGCCCCATTCTGGCCTCATTTTGGACCCATCCTAGTCCCATCCTGGACCCATGCTGGTCCCATCCTGGTCCCATCCTGGTCCCATCCTGGTCCCATCCCGGTCCCATCTTGGTCCCATCCCGGTCCCATCTTGGTCCCATTCCGGTCCCATCCTGGTCCCATTCCGGTCCCATCCCGGTCCCATTCTGGTCCCATTCTGGTCACATTCTGATCTCATTGTAGTCTCATGCTGGTTCCGTCCTGGCCCCATTCTGGCCTCATTTTGGTCCCATCTTGGTCTCACCTTGGTCCCATCTTGGTGTCATCTTGGTCTCATCTTGGTCCCATCTTGGTTCCGTCTCGGTCCCATCTTGGTCCCATCTTGGTCCCGTCCTGGTCCTTGGGTCTTACCTCCTTTCTTGTCCTTAGATCTTGTCCTCAATCTTAGCCTCGGGTGCCTTTTGTGATCTCGATGGTTGGTTTTGTCAGATGGTCCTTTGTTGTTTTGTTTTCTTTATACGGTTTTTTTTTTTTTTGGTTATCTTCTGTCCTTGACCTTGTCTCCCAACTTGTCTGCTGTTTATCCGTTATCCTTGACCCCTAGACTCGTCTTTGCTCTTGTACCTGGTCTTGTGCTTGGTCCCGCCCTGTATTCCGGGTGCCCCTATCTTGGTCCATCGTCTCTGCCCTTGTCAGTGAGCTTGCCCTTCCTCACTGTGTTAGCTATTCTGATTCTGGGGTCGGTGTCTGTGCCAGCATTCTGCCTTCCCCCTCCTGTCCCCTTCCCCCACTGTGGTCGTGTCCCTGATCTTGTCCCTGGCCTTGTCACTGGCCTGGCCTTACCGTGCTTGCAACACCGATCTTTGTCCTTTTTTTTGTGCTTCACCTGAGCCCTTTGGCATCGTCCACGTTTTGGCACTCAATTTTTTTCTTTGATTTGTCGCCTGTCTTTGACCTACTCTTCTGTCTTCTCTGTCTGCAACACTGTCCATGCTCTTCTACATGGTCTCATCCTTTGTCGTGTTCTTAATCTTGTCCTTGGTCTGGTTGTCTGTCTGGTCCTTGGTCTGGTTGTCGGTCTGGTCCTTGGTCTGGTCCTTGGTCTGGTCCTTGGTCTGGTCCTTGGTCTGGTCCTTGGTCTGGTCCTTGGTCTGGTCCTTGGTCTGGTCTGGTCTGGTCCTTTGTCTAGTTGTTGGTCTGGTCCTTGGTCTGGGTCCTTGGTTTGGTACTTGGTCTCGTCGTTGGTCTGGGCATTTTGGTCAGGCCCTAAGGGCAAGACACAGCCAAAAAAAAGCAAAGAAACTAGGAAAAGTTTAAAAACAAAGAAAGAAAAGAGACCTTTGTCTGGTTGTTGGTCTGGTCCTTGGTCTGGTTGTCTGTCTGTTCCTTTGTCTGGTCTGGTCCTTTGTCTGGTCTGGTCCTTTGTCTGGTCTGGTCCTTTGTCTAGTTGTCGGTCTGGTCCTGGGTCTGGTCCTGGGTCTGGTCCTTGGTCTGGTCCTTGGTCTGGTCCTTGGTCTGGTCCTTGGTCTGGTCCTTGGTCTGGTTCTCTGTCTGATCCTTTGTCTGGTCTGGTCCTTTGTCTTGTTGTCGGTCTGGTCCTTGGTCTGGCTCCTTGGTTTGGTACTTGGTCTCATCGTTGGTCTGGTCATTTTGGTCAGGTCCTAGGGCAAGACAGCCAAAAAAAAGCAAAGAAACTTGGAAAAGTTTAAAACCAAAAGAAAGAAAAGGGCACGAAGATGCGGAGCAGAGACCTGAAGATACCTTGGGTATGGTTCAAGAAAAAGCCACGAGGACTTGTAGACAAGGCTAAGCGTGCTGAAAGAGAACTTTAGACTGGTCTATAATAATCAAGAAAAGGAAAAAAAAAAAAAAAGAAAAAAAAAAAAGAAGCTGGAGTCAGGTCCCTGTTGCAGGCGACGATGATGACTGAGGCAAGGCTGAGAAAAGGAGCTTTTGTCAGGAATCTGGCGGCATTTTGGGTCAGATACGTCCAGGACAGTTCTAGTCTGACTGAGTTTTGCCCGAATGGGAGAAGAATGCAGTGGTGACAGGTTGTTTGTTCTCGCTTTGAAAAAGTGATTTGGAATACCTTTCGCTAATTTAATCGTTTTCACTTCTTTCTCTGTTTTTTTTTTTTTTGCACAGGGATATTTCCGAAAGGGCTGTGCGTTGGAAGCCATGAAGAAGTTCGATGAGGTACGAAGGAAAAACATGCCTCTGCCGCTTCTTCTCTGTGTCCTGATTTCATTTTGTGACTGTATCCGTGTTACACTCGCTTGTTTTAGTGCGAGTACATAAGTAATGCCATCCACAAAACAAGGAGTGGAAAAGCATGACATCGGGCCTTGCTCCACTACTCTCCACTTGCAGGAAAGACAAGAATCATGCCGTTGTATCTTTCTTTCCATGTTCTAGCGGAAGAATTCACTCTCGTTTTGCACATTTCGAGCGTAGTGTAGCGAGGCCCATCTACACACATGTAATGGAATCTGACTGTCGGCAAACATGCCCATCTAACTGAATGGTACAGGCATGTTCCTGTTAGTGAACAGCTTGTGAGTTCGAATCCGGATGGACTCAGATGCGCATAGTAACGGTAGTGGTCGATCTCGCTTTGAAAACATGCCACACACCGAATTTTGAGCCGTATACGCTCTTCGGAAGGTTGTACTGTGAATATGCCCTCCCTCAGTGCTTGCGGTGTTAGGCGATGATAACTCAGAAGGGCCTGAACGTCATTCATTTGTCATTTAAACCACCAGTACTTGGGCGACGCCTTAGCGTTAACGCTACGCGATTTCCGCGCCCGGCGGGCCGTCGATAAATCGAATCGACAGCCCACGCTGCTTTGAGATTTGGGCGGCCGGCGCAGCGCGCAGTGCCCAAGTACTGGTGGTTTAAAACCGCCCGTACCTGCACGTTTTTTGGCTGTTAATGTGGTGGCTGAATCGGTGCGCCATGCAGGTCCATATGCATTTGCCTCAGAGCCTACCCAGAGGGGGCCGTAGACCCCCTGGGGTACTGGTGGTTTAAAACCGCCAGTACACGGCCCCACCCTTGCTGAAAATGCAACTGGTCGCCGACGAGACGAAAATTTCGGAGGCTCGGCCTACTGGACCACAATGGCTGGCGGCGGCAGCCGAAAAAGAAAGAAAGTGCGCCGCTGGCGGTTCGGAAAAGCTTGGCGTGCAGAAAGGCGCCTCCTCCGGACCCGGGTGTACTTTTGGTGGGTTAAGAGAAGTCGGGTTTTCCTGTAGGGAGTGGGGGAAAGGACAATGCTGTACAAGGGCTGTGAATTGCGCAGCCAGGGAAGGGCCTATGTAATGATTGAAGCTGTGCTTCACGCCTTTGAATTGTGCCTGGCTGCGTGTGTTTCGCCATCAATCCACTTTGTAGTGCGACAGAAATGGAGAAAAGGCGGACTACACTGCAGGTCCAACTGGTGATAGGTTTGTGCTTGGAAAATCGGGGACCTGGCGGGCAGGTTTATGCTTTTGTAGTTTGATCAGAGCGCCAGCTCGGCCTCTACCGTCTTCACCCGAATAGAACGCCCGGTCGTCAAAGCTGTATGTGAGGCAACCTTGCTGTCCACATACGCCCCTGATGACCGGGCGTTCTATTCGGCTGGAGGCGGTACCTCTGGAGGTGGGCAAGAGAAAGGCAGCTAAACTGGGAAGAGTTAAAGAGTTGATATCCAAGACAAGACGACAGAAGTGTAGAATCTTTTTCGATTGCATGCTTCATGTTTGTCCCCGTGCTGGCGGATTGACTGTTTGCAATGCAGTCCTTGGAAGCGTTTCAGAAGGCGGCAGAGAAGAACCCAAAGAGTGTGGAGGTGAGCACGAAGATTAAGCAAATGGCCCGGCAAATCCGGGATCGAAGACGGGCAGAGGGGAGGGATAACAATGCGCGTAATGAGGGGGAGTCTAAAAGCGGCAAAAAGGTAGGTATCTTTGTGAGATAAGACACCTCCTCTCTGAAAAACGAATTTGTCAAAACCTACGTGAAATGCGTGTTTTCTCACTCGAAACTCGCTTTCCGATGAAATTTTTAGGTCTTGTTCCTTGCATCGCTGCCTCGAATCAGATGATTGCAAAAATACTTACTACGGCCATCATCATGGCAATTATGAATGGTTTGCGGCTGTACCTTGACGGCACGGTACTCTGTTTGTTTGTTACTTTGCTGTAGGGGTGAAGAAGGCAAAAAAAAAAGGCCTACGTACTACGTATGCCAGTTTTTGCTTTCTTTCTTTTTAAAAGGGCAAAGGCCTTGAGATATCGTCACTGAACTGACCGGCCCCAGGTAATTCCGAATGATTTTATTCCCTCTTCATCTGACAGTAGCTGGATTCAACATCCGCACCTGGTCTGTATTTCAACAACAGTTCAGGGGTGTACCAACTGAGCTAGGCCCATTGGTTAGCCCAGTTGTTGCTTTTTTTTTGTTTTTTGTTTTTTTAATGCAAGGTTGGCCACGTTTGTGTGGTTGAAAGTTTGGACCATTTCTCAATTTATGCGTGTCATCCTTGCGCAGGGGCCATTTGCTAATTTACCCTCCTCTGTATTGTTCCAATTTTAACGGATGTCCCGAAGGACTCGCCCAGTTGTTGCTAATTCTCAGTTTTAAGGTTTTAAAATTTTAATAAGTTTTTGCCAATTCTAAGTAATCAGAAAGCTCAATCCTCCTAATGGGAGCAATCAATGCTGATCAGGGTTCCTTCGGCCAAACGGAAGGAAGCGTGAGTGGGGTCATGATGTAATCAGTTTTGACTTGCGGGAGGAATAGTAACCGGACTGACGCTCCCCAGCATGGATATGGAGCCAGGACCATAAGGGCCTGTTTTAAAAAAAAAAAAAAAAAAAAAAAAAAGAGGAGAAGAAAAGGTAAGTTATAAGGTTAGGGTTTGGATGAAAACATGTGGCGATAAAAAAAAAAAAAAAAAAAAAAAAAAAAAAGCTCCTGTGCGGATTTTGCTAATTTTCAGTTTTTGCTGTGTCTGTGGCCTTAGCTGTAGAGGTGTGAAGGAGGCAAAAAGGGCCTCTAGCCCAGTTGGTACACCCATCAACTGTTGAAATACAGACCCAAGTCCAAATCCATATGCGATCAGAGGAGGAGAATAAAGTAATTCTGAATAACCTGGGGCCGGGTCAGTTCAATCGTGATACATCTCCAGGCCATTGTCCTTTCTTTTTTTTTTCCTGGTTTTTTGAAAAATGGACTCGAAAATCACCGTTGTCACCCAGAGGACTGATGTGAATGGCAGAAACCAAGCAAGTACTGCCAAGTCGCCCCTGCTACCGTCTTCACCCGAATAGAACGCCCTGTCATTGTAGCCGTATTTCGGGCAACTTTCAGACCAGATGCAGCTATAATGACCGGGCATTCTATTCGGGTGTAGTTTGCCACACACTCTCTGTTTCACTTGTAACTTAGTTGATGGGCGTGCGGAGTCATCAGTTGGTCTGCTCTCTGTCTGTCTGTCTGTCTTTCTCTCTGTCTGTCTCTCTCTTTGTCCGTTCGTATGTCCGTCCACCGGTCCATCCTCATGTTGTTCCGTTCTGTTCCACTCCAGGCTGACCAGTATGATTACTCTCCAGTTTAGTCCACTTTTTTTTAGAGCATATTTCAAAACAAAGTGACAATTGCAAATCAAAAACCCATTATGGTGCAACTGCCAACTATATACAAATGCAAACAATTCTGCAAATGATTGCACTATTCTGCAGTCAACATAGGCCCTTTGACCTTTGACATAGACCAGTAGCAGAGTTGAAACGATTGTGTCAAAAATTTTGTGTGTTTCTTTTTCCATTTCGTTCCGTTTCATCCCGTCGCTATCCGTTATCATCAGAAATCCTCTCATTCTCTTCCCATTCATCCTCACCGTGTGTGTGTGTGTGTTTTTTTTTTTTTTTTTNTTTTTTTTTTTTTTTTTTTTTTTTTTTTTTTTTTTTTTTTTTTTTTTTTTTTTTTTTTTTTTTTTTTTTTTTTTTTTTTTTTTTTTATTATTTTTAATTCCATTTCATTACATTGTCTTGTCCATTCTGTCCGTTCATTCAGTTTACGGTCCGTCCATGGGATGCCGATTTGGTGTTCGGATCGGCCGGAAAACAAAGGGGAGAGGGGATTACACGGCAGACATTGGTTTTAGGCAAAGGGTGTTTCACTCTTTTTTTTCTTTGTCCCCTGTTTTTTTTTTTTTTTTTTTTTTTGCCCCTAAATTTTCTTTCAATAAAAGCCAGAATCCTGATATCTGCATTCTGTTTTTGTGTTCGTGACAGGGACCGTTAGAAATCAACTGTGATGATAATCGAGTCACCAACTTTGCAAGAAAGATCATTGAGGGCGTTACGGAGATTTGCCTTCAGAATGGAGGAAAACTGGACCCTGCTGTCCATTTCCTCAGTTGTAAGGAGGGGAGTAATGATGACTTGTCCGAACAGATTGTGACCGTGAAAGAGGTGGGTTGTCATGATGTTATCCTAACTTGTCTGGGATTGATAAGCTACCAGTTGCGTTCCCGTCCCTGTTAAGCTGGCGTCGATAAGTCAAGAGTCAGTGTTGTTATGCTTCAGTCCAAGCAGTCAAAGTGGGTGTGGTTCTGTGAAACTGTGTGTTCCCATCCCTGTTAAGCTGGTGTCGATAAGCCAAGAGTCAGTGTTTTAAACTTTTTATTCTTCAGTCCAAGCAGTCAAAGTGGGTGTTCTCTGTTCTGTGTACTGCGTGTTCCCATCCCTGTTAAGTTGGCGTCGACAAGCCAAGAGTGAGTGTTTTTATGCTTCAGTCCAAGCAGTCGAAGTGGGTGTGGTTCTGTATACTCTGCACTTTACAGAGGAGGAAGATTGTCTTCCCTTCCGCTACCGTTTTCCGCCGATGAGATCGTGCAGTGTGTTCCCATCCCTGTTAAGTTGGCGTCGACAAGCCAAGAGTCGGTGTTTTTATGCTTCAGTCCAAGCGGTCGAAGCGGGTGTGGTTCTGTATACTCTGCACTTTACAGAGGAGGAAGATTGTCTTCCCTTCCGCTACCATTTTCTGCCGATGAGATCGTGCGGTGTGTTCC